ATCCCAGGGAAATTCAAAACTAAACAGGTCAGATATAGAAATGAATACTGCCTACACAATACCAAAAAACGGAGCAAGTTGAGTTCACCAAGATGGATCTTTTGCCGTGATAAAAGCCGAAATCGTTTTCCCCGTGATAAAGCCGAAAACAGAACAAAGCATTTTCCGATGAGATAGGAGATTTCATCTTTGATTGCATTGTGTAAGCATCATTAATTTTACCTAGGAGTGAGTTTGATATAAGAACCCAACCTTGAGTCTAGGATTGATAAGTATAACCGGACGTTTCCCAGCAGCATCAGTCTAGGAGCAAGGTTAGAAACTAAACTGTCAAGTATAAGGCTCTTAAAACAGCATAGTAATATAGATTCTTCATCTATGATGCAATTACCAGCGGCATTTTGAGGTGCCACTAAGACGAACATATCATCTTCTTCACCAACCTCATTGGCACCTGTCGGTGCAAATAAAGCAAACATTAAAAGGAGAATCATATAATCATGCATGTAGAGTGATACTCGAACTGATCTAATATTTCGCAAAGCTACCGATATGCTCATCTTTGTAATAGTCAAGGCAGTTAAAAAGATAAACACGATAAATATGAGATGGTAGTACTTCGCATAACTTTGGAATTAGCAAGCAGTATCAGAAAATCTACAGAAATATTTTCTCCGAAATTGTCTCGTACCTATTGAACCAATATTGATAAATGTTCCCATAGCGCCATAATTACCCCAATCCATGAATTCCAAAATCTTCCGGGTACCGGCAAGTTGTAGGGGCATTCCTGCAAGTGCACCCTGTCCCCTAGAGCCTTGGACACAAACCTGAAAGAAGAGTCGTTGGAAATTCTGGACAAATGCAAGAAACATATCCAGAATTATATCATTAACTACTAATAGTACCTTCACACGTTTTCCATCATCAGCAAATGAAAGAGCAATTTCTCAGACTAGCTCCATTAAAGTACCTATACGGTAAACATCCTGTCCATCATAAGATTGGTTAGCCCTAAAGGAAGTTACCGGGAAATATATAAGAGCAAAAGAAATAATGATAAATCTCTCACCATTTCTGGATTCAGCTCGGGAATATTAATCTCCACCTGTGGATACAAGAAAGGGAAAAAAATCTGACTTACTGGGCATAGCTTTCTGAATTCACATTTATGAAGTGTAACTTCTCCCATTACAAACTCCATCTCTTAGTTAACAATATCATAGATTGCTAATCCTATGAACAGTTGCTCCTGTGCTACATTGAAGAGCGGGTATTACAAGTTGAAGTTCGGTGATTTTCTCACTTAGTGAGTCAGGTTAATGGACCCTATTGTGATATTATTGTCTATTAGACCAAGCAAAAAAAGGTGTCATTCTTTAGGTTTCTTCTCCCCTTTTTAACGTTGCCATCCTCCATTAAGCCACATACTCTTACATAAACATTTATAACTCTTTGCCAAAGACACCCGCTTGTCCGCTTGTCTTAACCATATGTCCTGGATCTGTGACTAGTTTGAAGAATTTTCAGCCTATGATGAATGCCTTGTTATTAGAATTAGACAAGTGAATGCATATTAGAATTAAACAGCGCATAAATTCATACAAACCAATATGGAGATGAGAAGAAACTTCTTCACTTTATTTATGAAGTACAATAAATCTACATTGAATTCTCTAACCAATATCTCAAGAAACTTCTGCAGTCAGTAGAAGACTAAAGTTGCTAAATCTGGTGGCAAAAACCATGTCCATGGTGCCATCTATAGTCATAATTAATTTTTCCGCATCTTCACTAAATGGAGAATTAGACCTTAGTTTTTCATTTTGCAAAGAGAATAAGATTCAGCTAAACATAACAAATAAAATTATAATCTTGATTCAGAAAAACATTGAAGTTTGAAAGAAAGAAAAACCTACCATTCATGTGCTAGTAATAAAAGTTACGTTGATTTCTACAGCAGCGCAATTCAATTCAACTGAATCAAGTACCGATATCTCACCTTCAATCGAGTTCTTCCATCATTTACAGCTCTCTGTGTGGCTTGCAGCACATCATCATAGAAATAATTCCGGATTTCTCTAGAATGAGGAATATTATTCAGTCTAGTTGGAATTCCTCTCCATTTTTCCTGTCAAAAGCTAAAGTAAGAACATAACTTGAACTTCGAGTGAATATTATACTCTTTATTTCCTTCCCTTGAGTAAGCTATACAAGGATAGTCCTCCATTTCCTTTAACCTTCTCTACCACCGTGAAGGCAGGATTTTACTCTAAGGTCTTTATACAGTAAGAAAAGAACAATTATACTAAACTAATTGACACCTTTGTTAGATTGAAAGAGTTGGATATAGAAAACTTGATCATGACTATATAAATTGTAGAACTCTTTACCTGGTTCGAAGATGCCTGATCTAGATGGCTCTCGGTTTGAAGAACTGGTTTCTCTGGAACCAAGAAGGAACCAGGAAGAAGTCAAAATAGATAACTGAAGCTAAAAGTGCAGAAAGTATAAGTCGGCTCAAAATGAAGTTACTTCGTAAATGTAATAATCATCAAGTAATAGACAAACAGTGGAATGAAGTTAAAAATGTCAATAAAAGGTGAAGTGTCCCCAAATGAGAAATTCAATAATCTACAAAGAAACCTTCAAAAAAAAAATCTATAAACGAAAGCTTTTAAATATTGCAAAAAGTTTCAGTTCCTGAATAGCCTTTGATAAAACTTGAAAATAGTAGGATTTTTTTTATCAGTACACCAAGACAGTGCAAAGTAAGATCATTTCCCTCCAAAACTTGAAATTCATTTTCACGTACCTGATTTTGTTGTTTTATCCTTCTGCAGTTGAGATAACAAGGAGTCCATATCTTTGAAAACTGCTTCTTTTGGACGGTTTCCATCAATCTGTGAGGGGGGAAATTCAAACAAATATGATACAAGTAAGAAGAAATAGAACTAGAGAAAGCAGTTTAATCTACCAAACCTTGTTCATTATGCTGTTGTAAGTAGATGAGATTGCTGCAGCATATTGCTTGTATATTTCTAGTCGTGACTTCACCTAAATAACAGATAAAAAAGGAGGAGGATATTAGGCAGCTGACACAGAGCACATGGTAGATTACATTTCATGAAATGAAACAAACATCTATTATACAAAAATGGTACAGGCAGCTTTCCCGCCAATACTTCACCATATCTCTTCTTTCCCCCAAGTAACGCGGGGGCATGGAAGAACTGATAGGCATTGCAACACCATGTGCAATTCTGACCAGTAAGTATTTTGCAAGCTCAATTCACTGGAAAATTCTGCAGTTCATGATGCTATGTAATAAAGGCTGAACTGCTGACATGTCACTTTCCTTCTGGATAGGTTTATTAAGATATGTTTCAAGGTCAAGTTATGCTCCATGTAGGGCCGTCCAGGTTTGTCTAGTTTAAAAAGAGGACATGAGATTTGAATTTTCTCCATGTCCAAGCGGTACTTTGAAATGGTCATGTGTATATAACCATCAGTAGATCCTGTTTCTAATTTTCAAATTAGTTCCATGCATGAAGATGAATACTAAACCAGAAGTATGTTGAAAATGTATATGTATCTGCCATGTTCCATTTCACAGTTTCACACATCTTGAACCTCTGTATCTAAGCCAATCAAAAGCAACATAATAAAAGAATATAAATAATAACGGTTAAATTGAATCATACTTTCTCTTCTGTGTCATCAGCACGGGTAACCAGTCTTGCTTTAATTTCTTCCGAGTTGGGAGGGAAATGCTTCATACGGTAAATTTTCCCAGTCACTGGGTCTAGCCTTCTAGCTACACATCTGTCGATTAGAATTTCATCACGAACCTGAATGTTAAGAAATAAAACAAATGTAAAAAGCATGTTTTTAAGCCACTTTATGAACAAAATTTATCACCAGTCTCATTTGATCGCCAAGTAACAACATACGCATGTTCGTGTGGAAGGAGGCTGTAAAATATCACTTTGCATAGAATCAAAGATTTTCAAATACTATGTGGAAGTCTATGTTGCTTGGATGTGGGCAGCATGGGACCATTGGAGTTTTTCTTTCAATCTTTTTACCCCTAAATCATATTAACTTTATGTTAGATGAGTTTTTCTCTATACAGTTTCGGGTTGTTTGAAAGTATTTTTATGATTTTCTTTAATATTATAATTTTATTTTTTAATTCTCGAAAGGTGTATTTTTTTTTTTAAGATTATTTAAACTTTTTTTGAATATTTTCAAGAAATTATACCTTTCCAAAAAAAATTATAATTTCTTAATAAATTTCTTCAAAATTTTGGAAAATTTTATATAATCTTGATAAACTTTAATATTTTATATTATTCCATATATATTGTGAATTTTAATAATTAAAATATTGAAAATATCTATTTTATAACTATGAACGGACCTTAGGCTGGATCAGGTTGCAGCCCAAATTCTTTTCTAGTAAGCTTGTTTTTGGTCCGACCTGCAAGTCAAAATTTACTATTTATTTAATATTAAAAAAATAAAATTATTTAAATACATGATATATTTCACAATTAAATTTAGGGTAAATTATACGTTTGATATCTAAACTATTACTTTTATTCCGTTTTAGTACATAAACTTTATTTTTTCAAAATCATACTTAATATTTAATTTCAATTTCAATTCGATACCCATCATTAAAAAAATTAGCCAAATTGTTGATGTGATATTTTTTTCAATAATGACGCAACTTTACCTTATACTGACACGTCAACATTATCATCAAGTTTTTTTAATGAGATACCAAAATGAAAGCTAAATTAAACATTAGAAATGATTTTTAGAAAAAATAAAGTTCAGGTGCCAAAATAGAACAAAAGAAATAGTATAGATACTAAACGTAAATTTACCCTTAAATCTAAATACATATGAAATTTTAACTAGAATGGATAATGGATGATAAAATAGTAATTATACCATAGCAAAGTTTACCAATGCAACCCAAATGCCAAATCGGAATGCAAATCTGTATAACAAAGAATGAAGCTAAACTGGGAAAATTTTATTATTTATTACATTAAGATTCCTAAAAAGGTAAAGCTCAAGGTAACAGATGACTGACTAATGTAAGGGTTGAATTCTTTCCTCAAAAGCCTCTTCAATTTGCCATTTTTTCTGTGTTTGGAGAACCTTCTTCAATCCAGCTTTACCGAAGAGAAGAGATAATGCACGAACCAGAAAGAAGAAAGGAATCCGACGGTGCCGGTTGCGAACATGATTGCGAGAACCATGAAGAGAGAATACCCCAAGTAGAGAGTAGCCGAGACCGGTCCACTCAAGCTCTTAAGATCGAGGATGAGATAATTTACGGAGTACAGGAAGATGTAGATGGCAACGGAACCGGATGCAAAGAACGATTTCCACCACCATTTCCAGTCCTCCACACAGAGATGCATGTAAGTTAGCACCAAAGATACCTCGGCACAAACCACAACGAGTAAGATCAGAACAATGAACAGAAACCCAAAGACATAGTAAACTCGTCCCATCCAGATGCTAGACATGATGAAGAAAAGCTCGATGAAAAGGGTACCGAAAGGTAGAGTCCCGGCACCAAGAACTAACAGCCAAGATGGGTACCTTTGAGCTGGAATTTCCCGGGGGATCTGATTGGCTCTAACAGGGTACTCGATATGAGGTGCCTTAGCCCCAAAGTACCCACCAATTAGGGTGAGTGGAACCGAGATACAGAACCAAAGTAAAAGTAGAATAACAAAGAGAGAAAATGGAATAGCTCCTGTGCTGTGACTTCCCCACAACAGGAAATTCAAAACGGTTAGAATCGAAAAGGCAATACCAGGGAAGAAACAAGCAGCCTTCCAAGCAACGGAAATCCATCCTTTGGGATCGCCGAAGCTTATTGTTCTCCAAAGACGAACTGCAACATAGCCTGCCGCAATACCAAGAATCATGTAGAAAAATAGCATACCTGTAATGAGAGTTCCACGGGATGCTGGTGACATAAATCCAAGAGCAGCAAACAATATCGTCACAATTGCCATCCCAAGGATCTGAACTCCATCCCCGACCATAATACACAAAAGAGCTGGATTGGATGGGGCACGAAAAACATCCCCAACTACTAGCTTCCACCCAGATAACTCCTCGTTCGCCATTGCTTGGGCCTCCTTATCAAGCTCCTCGTACCGTGTCAGATCCCGCCTAACAGTCCTTAAGAAGATCACAAGGACTATACCAGCGAGGAAAGTGATCACCATGAGAGAATTCAAGATCGAGAACCAATGGACTTTGGCTCCCTCCATCTTCAAATAAGCATCCCAACGAGATGGCCATTTGATATCACTCTCCTCAAAAGTAACTTCGTAGGTGAAGACAATCGGCTCACCTTCCTTGATGGGCTTTGACACAGTAGTCGGCTCACATTTAATTGGAGATGGGTATTTTTCATACATTTTCAAGTTCTTAACCAAGTTACTATCATGCATGACACTGCAAGGAACCACCTCAAAGCCAACGACCGTATAACCAGGAACTTCAAATCTCGTTTTGCCCATGGGGATAGCCTCCGCACCATCCCCAATCCCCATAACACGTGCCACATCAGGTTCCTCATACTTATGAACAAGCACCTTAAATTTCAAATGATTAAACACATAATACACATCCTGAATCTTAACACCAACCGGATACCCAGTCCACCTCAACATAAAACCCTCTTTCATAGTATACCTTATCGCAGGCAAATTATCGAGAATCAAGTTAACTTGATACATCTCATCAATCCTTTTCGTCAACAACTTAAAATCATCAGATGACAGCTTACCAGTTTGACACAAGAAGATCTCGGATTCATTAGTATACATTTTAAACTTATATGGTGAGTTCTCGATCCGATCTCCCATGAGAAGCTCACCCAGATTCTCAGCACTATCCTTAACACCCTCTAAAGGCTTACAAAAGGGTAGACTGTAATAGCTAAAGGGCATTTCAGTGTCGATGGAAGTTAGGGAGTTCACTTTGACAGATAAAGAATTCCCAACCACATGTTTGAGAGGGTAACTACCAGGCAAATAAAACCCATATCCAGATTGAAATATCAAGCAGATTGTTAACACCCAGATCCCGAAATTGCCCATGATTCCGAATTTTGTCAGATCTGGGAAAACCCAGGACTAGAAATGAGTTTATTAGCGAAGATTTAAGTGAACTTCAATGTGGGTTTTGACTAAACAGTGGGAATAACAAAAATCTAGCAATGCATATAACAATGAAGAAATCATGTAAAAAAAAATCTAAAGGATATTTGGGAGTAGAATTAGAGTTACCTGATGAGAGAACTAGGTGAAGAGCCTCTATGAAGAACCTTGAAGTCCAAGCATAGAGAGATCTTCAAATTGTTCCTTTTTTTCCTTTCTATTTTCTGTTTCCAATGAAACTTAAGTTTGGAGAGGAAGAAAGTAGCTATGGCGGGTCTTATATTATTGGCGCTTATAATTCACGTTTTTTTTAATCTTTATTTTAAAAAAAATTATATCAATTCTCAATTAAATATAAGCTTTTAGTAGATTATTAAGCATTAATTTAAAACTTATTTTATTTTTTCTTTTTAGGAAAATCTTGCTATAAAATCATTATAAGTAACTTGATAATAAAAATTAGTTTGATATCATTAAACACATAAATTCTGGTTTCCTTTAAAAATTGACTGATTACATATAATTAAAATTATAAGTAATTACATTTAAAATTTAATTCGATTATATATAATTAAAATTATAAAATATCTACATAAATTATAATAACTTCTTTTCTCCTTTTATATTTATCATGACGACATTTTATAATAATTTAATAAAATTTTAATAATTTAATAATTCGATAAATTAAAAAAAAAACCAAGTGTTTAGTTGGCGACATCGAGTCCTTTTCTTTCATTAAATATATTATGTTTAGTTGTAAAGTGAGTCTTCAATCTTACGTATAACAATAATAAATCTTTGAATTAAACAAAACAATAATATTAACCAACAATCAGTTCGTCTAGTGGATGAAATAATAGATCTATTAAACTAGATCAGGGGTTTGAATCTTGGAGTTTGAGAATGGAACAAACTGGGTTGCTTTCGCCTTTGCAGTATCCGATCTGGATTAGTCGATCAATAGATCGGATACTAGTAATTAATTAAAAAAACAATAATATTGTGATTAAATACGTAAATAATGCGTGAAAGGTATACCATACAGGCCATGATGCACACATCTTACCAATTGCAGCAATAACAAGAAAGGTTTAAAGAAGGAAAATTACGTGAATGGAACAAGCAACACCCATTTTCACATTTTGTCACATGGGAAAGCACTCTAAAACAGATGCATATTATAGGTCATCTAATGTTTCTGCAACTTTATTATTGTTCCTTTTATCCGTGTCTCCGTCCTATAAAATTTAGTAAGAACCCATCAAGTGACCTGATAAAAAATAAAGTTGTAATCTCTAAAGGTCATGAATTTAAATAATTATATCTGTAAGATATATGATATCAATTGGTTAATAAAGTTCTTAACAGACCATGACTTTTTCTAGCATGAACAATTAAAACGCGAAACACCGAAAGCTTCTCGCGGATGAAGGAAATGGTAAACCGGTAAGGGTCCGAAACGGGTGATGCTTTCGTTACTTGTAAATGTAATTTGAACATAAAGGTTACTGTCATGATATGGTAGACAGAAAGGAAATACAAATGCATCAAAAACTAACCTGGGAAATGGTTATATTTGAACTTCGAAGGTTGTTGAATTTAACCGTCTGTACGTAAAGTTTAGGTTTTAGGGTTTAGGGCGTTATGTCACTGATTATCCCGAGGATGCATCGGCTGGAAGGCAAATATATCAAGCTGGTCCAAAACAATCTGCTTTAGCTTCTACAATTTATCAAAGCATGGAGCTGTTAATGTCTTGAATCATTCATGCATGCAACTTAAAATGAATTTAATAATAACTTAATATTCGTTTATTTATTACTTGAATGATTTCCTCATAGCGTATATCTAACAAATACACACACAAGAAGAAGAAAAAGATACATAAGATCAGTGTCATCTCTTTTAGCTTTGTATTTACTGGGAAAGTTTCTACCACATCATGTCATTTGAGCCTATTAAAAGAAAGAAAACGAACAATCATTACATTTGTTATCTTGAATGGCATAGGAGCAAAGTTGAACCAGTACACTATTACTTCTAGTTGCTCCTGTAACAACTCGTGTTCCTTCTCATGAATGAAACCCAATGGGTGGAGGAAGAAGAACAACAACACTATGAGAAAACAAAAGAAATGGCATCAGTCATCATCATTGATGCAATAAAAGGAAACAAGAGGTTAAATCTCTGATTTTTTGTTCATTTTACCGAACTAATTTGCTCAAGATCAACACCCTGGCGAAGCATTCGTTCACGGCGCTTTGTTAGAATAATAACTGTGAATGTATGTATGTATGAATGATGGTGTGAGTACATGCATGAGATGGTTAGAGTGGTTAGTAGGCTGTTAAGATGTTGTTAAGAATTGGTTTAGGCCGTTACAACTACTGTGCAGTTATGAACCAGCTCAGCAGTACAGGCTTGTATAAATAGCCAGCTGATATGTTGTAAATGCAAGATACATTTTCTTTACATTCGTTGTTAACTCTCTTTCTCAACACGCTTCAAAATTAAGAAAGCAGATCACGGCAAAGCATGATCTACCGACCACTTGGTATCCAAAAAAAGTATATTTTATCCAAGAAAAAAGATGGATACCAAGTGGTTGGTAGATCAGACTTTGGATTAATCTGATGATGATAGTTCTTGATGAAACATTAAAGAAGCTGTGTGGGATTGCTCTCCAAGAACTGTGTCTGCAAAAAAGTAGCATGTTGCCAAGGTCTTGGCCCCTACAGGAACAAAAGAACAAGAATTCCCCAAGATTTCCCGGTAACGATGAGTGTTTGTTATGGTTATCTCAATCAATATGCATTTACTCTTCAGCCTACCTATAATATCATTTTCTTCAGGTGATTCTTTTCAGGTTGTGCCTGGAAAGTTGGAATTTTGTAAGACTCAAATTGAGGGAAAATGAGGAAAACAAGGAAATTGACAAGATAGAAATATAGAGATCATTTTTTTCTTGTTACTGCCTGTGCTAAATTAGGAAAACAAGAACACCCTACTTGTTTTCTCATAGTGTTCTTTTTAGAGATTCTGATTAGAGATTCAGAGAAAATTATACATGAAAATTAAGGTTCAGATCCGAATCGGTTGATTTTTTTATTTTTTTTTACTTAATCCAACGCATGACCATCCTAAAACAAACATGATGCGGACAAGGTGATACCAGAATTTTACCAGCTTCCAAATACATATAAAGACTTGAAAATTTGAAAACATAAGAATAATATGTTGTCTCACCAACATAAACAACAAAACCGTTAAACTATTTAGACTTTGCCTTTGCCTGAGATATGAAAGTTTAGATAGTTGATTTTATATATTTGTGGATGTTGAATGTTCTAAACTTAGTCGTTTGGGTGAAACCCTTGTTTTTATGAATGCTATTTAATTTGCTATTTTGTGATTTATGCTTTTTGAATGATGAAAGAGATTTCATTATTTAAGTATGTTGTTATTTTATTTAGAGATAAATTAAATGACTTGCATGCTAATTTCGTGGCTTTGGTATTGTGAGAAGCAAATGCATGTTAAGATGTATGCTGCCAAATGTTTAGCATCATTACTTTGTGTTTGTTTGTCTTAATGAGACCTAATTCATATTAATCCGTTAATAGTAATTAATGATAAATACATTGTAGTTAAGTTAATTGCCTGAATTGAGCAAAGATTCCCTTTTATCATCTCATTTTATTTGATTTGACTCTGTGCTGTTCCTAGTGCTGCAGCATGATCCTACCTCTATTCCATTATATTCCTTATTTTAATTTGTTTCATTTATATGTCAATTCAATCAAACACTTGTTTCTCAAACTTAATTGTAAACTTTTTGCACTCTGTGGGTTCAACGTCTGAAATCCTAAAAGGATTTACACTTTATTACTTGGTGACGATAAGTATACTTGCGTGATTGCTATAATATATTTTAATAACATGAAGTAGTAATAGCTCAACTACTAACTCAATGCCTTTTACACGAGGCGAGCGAACTTTGTTTGATGGCAGTGAAGCAAGATTTTATAAGGGGACCACGGTAACTGAGATTGTGGTAAAGTCGTTTTATGTTCCATTAAGAATGAAGTTCTTGAGATTCTGCTGCTTGTACAATGCCATTTGCAGTTTCAACGGTATGGCCTCGGATCGATCAAACTGTCTTGGATCGATATGCTTGCTTCAAAGACGCACCCCATGATCATCTCAGCTGCTTTGGCCGCCATTTATCTGGATACTCTGTTCCCTTCTTCTAAATCAAACTATTATCTTTCTCTGTAGGTGAGGAGAAGTTTGAAGTTTGTGTGTAAAGTACGATTGTTTCAAGGCCTTTTCTGTGAATTGCATGCCTTTATTAACTTTTTTGCTAAAAATTTACGGAGTAACTTAAACCATGGTAATCCATATATACACTACTAAACCATGTTAATTTGATTTCTAAGCCATGGCAGGGACTCCGGAATTTTGGCTATCCCTGCTAAGGCAATCAAATCCTTCAACTCTAACTGCGGCCGGTTTAAGGCCAAATTTCATCCTAATACACCCTGCTTTAATTGCAAGTGATGATGATGCACATGGAATTTGCAGCGTCGAAAGCGCTTGTGCAAGCCTCTCGTCGTTGAACCGAGCATCTTGCACAAGTGGATTCGTAGCCCTGCTCGGAGGCGATCCGCAAAAGAACGGAGGTGATGATGCTATAGATTGTCCTTGTTCTATCTCTAAATCCTCCTTGTTGACGATGACATCAAGACACACCGCACCAGCTTTAGAATCGCTTACCTTGGCTTGATACAAATGCAACTGCAGGACCCTAATTCGCTGAGGCTTGGGGCAAACAACTGCACCGCCGTTATCTCTCGGTAAGTCGAAACGGCGGTCAGCGGCGTTTTGAGAAGTACAAATGTTAGTGTGTGAACTGTGAAGTGTAATATTTTCGAAGGCTTGTGCTGTGAGTTTACAGCCGTTCTCAAGTGAGAATATATATATAGAAGAGGAAGACGTTTAACGTTAACAGATTAATGAAAGAAAAAAAATCTCTTGAATTCTACGTTGAATACTAGAGAGCGAACATTGTTTTGCAACATTGATCTTGTTGTTGCTAGAAATTCGATCCGGAACTTATTGGTTTGTCTTCCTTTTTGTCTTGGTCCAGTTCACTACGTCGTTATAAACTACAATTCATGCTTGCTCAACGCTTCCTTTTGTTCATTCATGGTGAATTATAGCCGATCATTTCTAGTGAACTAACAAGCCTATAGACTCTTGAGGTGCAGTGGGTTGTGCTCAGTGATCATGACCGATTGAATTTTTGTTCCATCCGAATCTGATTTCGAAAGTAAATATTTCTATTGTTATTCAATTAGACTTAAATTTAAAAGACTTTTACCCGATTCAATCTAACCTGATTATTTAAAATAAAATTTATATCCGACCCAATCCACAAACACAAAAATATATATATATATATATAAAATAAAAATCTAACTAAAATAAAAATATAAAGAATAATATTATTACAATTATCTTTATATATATATATATATATAAAGATTAATTATAGTATTATATCATATAAGATCGGATCTATATCAGGTCAAAGCACATATGATTAGACTTTGAGTGGTCAATTTCTTGCTTTGACCAAAAACATTAAACTCCCTCAAGCTTTGTATATTTGAATAGATACGGCTAAGTGTAAATTACATTGTTAGTCATTAAACTTTATATTTTGTATCACTTTTGTCACTAAATTTTAAAACATTTTCATTTATAAATTAAGTTTTAGTTTCATGACACTAAATCATTAAATCATTCATGATATTATAATGTAAATTTTGAGATGAATATGGGTGAATTAGAGGATTATCGACTAACCAGACTCGACCTGAAGAAAATATCTCCTTCACCTAAAATTTGATCTGACTTAGATTAGAGAAAATTTCACTTGACTTGAAATTTGATCTATTCTATGGCTTAAAAATTGAACTCGACTCGATATATATATATATATATATATTAGATAAAAAATCTATTTAAAAATACATGGAGATATTATTATAATTTATTCTTAGATATAAAAATTAATTTACGTCAAATTAGGTATTTTTCAATTTAAATCTAAATCTAACCCGACTTTATCTTCTAAAAAAATATGACCTCAACTTTAAATTTTCAACAACAAAAAATATATGACCTTATAAGATCGGATCACATTGAAATCTTTTGAATCCAAATTTTATGCCCGTCCATAAACGTGATCGTTTATTTTCTATTTTTATAAAAAAATTAAGGTAAAGTATATAAATAGTCCTCAAACTTTTAGAACGCTTGTGTTTTGGTCACCCAACTTTTAAAACTTGCATTCTACGTTTTAAAACTTTTAATTTGTTTTCAGTAAGGTTCCTGACGTTACCTCTCGTTAGTTTTATACGATGGACCTGCGCTCGAAGATGATGATGTTGGGAGGGTTGGGTTAGGAAGGAGTGGGGTGGAACTTGGAAGTAGTGGCGAAGGAAGTGGGTGATGGAGGAACGGTCGATGCCGCTGTCGATAATGCAGCTGTAGGCGGAGGTGATGCATTGATTGATAGGCAAAAGATGAGAGGCTGTATAGAAAGGAGGAAGGTGAGGACACTAAAACTAGGTTTGGGACCAGAAACCATGAACTTTTGATTCTGGGTTTGTTTTGAACTGTTCCTTGTTGATGTCAAAGGATTCAACAGAGAAAACCTCAATTCATTTCCATGGTTAGAGTATATATATATATATTCATTCATACAGACATTGCAAGCTCCAATCAAAGGCTAAAATATGAATATTATATCATGTTTGACTGGGAAAGTTGAGCTTGGATTTGGAGTTCTATCTATTGGTTATTTTGCTTACTTGAATCGCCATTAAATATTTAGGGATAATGCAATTCCCAGCCTTGAACTTGATAACTTTTATCAAAGGGTTTTAATTTGGAGAGAAGAAGAACAAGGAAGAAGAAGAACGAGAAGAGGAAGAAGAGGTTATCGAAAGATAACTGCCACATCAAATAAAACTAACGGAAGGTAACGTAATTTTTTCTACTCTTTTTTTCATTATTTTTTATCGTTTAAATTTTCGACAACATAAATCCTTAAAACAATCACTTTAAAAAAATAATAGACTTTTTGCATTTAATTTCATAAACTCTAAAGAAGTTTTGATAAATTAATACTTGAAAGGTGATGTAAGATATCGTCTTCATTTACAAAACAAAACACAATTTTCACCTATATGGAACTGTAATGACAACGCAATCAAACTTAAAGTATGAAACCATCAATAGACACCACTGTATATATTTCATGGCACGGCATATATTAGAACCTTTTTCCTCCAAGCAAAGGAAATAGGAGATGATTGTTCGAATTCGTTTCCAGACTAAGGGTTGTCAACTTCACTGCGGGTTCTGTCCTTTAGGTGAAATTCTCGTCGCCATCAAGCGTAATTCGTTCACGAGCTCGATGAAGTTTGGTCTCTCTGATGGCTCTGCTGACCAGCATCTCTCCATCAATGATCTCCATTCTGGATCACATGATTCCGGAACTGGTGGACGGAGTGTATTACTCACAATGCCACCTGAAAGGAGGCGAATGATTGTTGGAGATAAATCGTGTGATCCATCGGGGCACAAAGAAAGGAATTGATGACTACATTTATAAGTAAGGCAATTTACCGATGATAGTCCCATAGTGTAAGTCTGCATATGGCTCTTCTCTTGTGAGAAGCTCCCACATCACGATACCAAACGAGAATACATCGACCTATATTAGAGAAGATGCCGAAATAAAAATTCTCCTGTAAACAATATGTTGGGGGAGAAAAAAGAAAGCATTTTCATGAGAGGGCACTAGACTGTATGGCAATCACATACCTTTTCCGAGACGAGACTGCTGCTTCCATTCAGAAGTTCCGGTGCCATCCATGGAAGTGTTCCGCGCACGCCACCTGATATCAGAGTTTGACATTTCACCTTAGATAGGCCCAAATCACCAACCTGGTAGCAAAAACTATGCATGAGAACTAAACCGATTGAATGAGTTTCAAATGAATCGAAATAACTTAGCTTGCTCCTGCTGTCAAACGATAATCGAAGGACCAACATGTGAAAGAGTAAGCAAACGTTGCTTTATTTAAATGATTGCATGCATGAAACAAGACATTGCTCTGTTCCTATGTTAATAGTCTGTTGTTCTCGAACCAAACATAATTTCCGAAATTCTGCAAATAAATCAGGCCCAAATACTAACCTTGCATATCGGGCGGTGAGGATCTCGAAGATTGACAAGTAAATTATCACTCTTCAAATCAAAGTGCACTATGTTCTTTCCATGCAAATACTCCATTCCAAATGCCACATCCATGGCAACCAAAAGTCGTTTACGCTTATCAAGATTCCTGACAATAGCAACTGCCCAACAGTTATTCAAATAGAAATAGATGTATATCCGAAACACAACTACAGGGAAGGTTGTTGTTTAGCATAGCAAACAAAACAGCTAATAACCTCTCGGTTTTCTGTAAAGCATTTCTTAAAGAACCGTTAACCATATATTCCGTAACTGTTGCCACAGAACCACCAGGACCATCAAGCACGACACCATAGAAAGCCACAACGTTTGGATGATGCAAATCAGCAAGCTTAATAGCTTCATTCCAAAAATCATCAATCTAATCATGTGCATTCACCGCGGTACAAGTTGTTAGTGTGTGAAATTACAAAAAATGGAACTAATTTGACAAACATCAGGAGATAGCAAAGAGAAAAGGCGACAAACCATGCGTTCTTGTTCAGAGGGTTTTCCAGCAAAACATCTATCATTAATTCGTTTAATTGCAACATCTGTACCTCGCCACTTCCCATGATAAACAGTACCAAAGGTGCCAGAACCAATCTCCCACAGCTCTTCAAGGTCGCTGTCTTTTATAATCTGCCAAATGATATATAGCTAAATTTATGGCCAACAAAAGTTAATTCAGAAGGACAAACAAAACATAAAAGCAGTACTTAAAAATTCAACCTGCAAGCGACCAATGCCATCAGAAATTCGAAAACCAAAATTCATTCTATCCGGCTGTTTAGTCTTGATTTCCTAAGTCAAGAAAAATAGTATGAAAGACAGCTCGATAAATGCATCTAGAGAAGGCAGTCACAAATAAAGGAGGACAATGAGCATACAGATGGAGAACAAAGAGATCTTATATTCCCACCTCAAATTTAGCTTTATGTTGCATTTTAATGTCATTAGGTAAAACATCGGTGTCTTGATTTCCTTCATAACCAGATGCATTGGTCTCTGTCGGTATATCGGAATCGGAATGCAAAGAAGACTGGAAAACAGATGCAGCTACTCCCTCGGCAACAGCTTGTAGTTCTTTCTTGACGAGATCCTCAGTGGAGCCTTTGGCAGTGAATGCAACAATGATAAACATTTAGTCCAAACATGAAATGATAAATTCCAACATTATATAGCAAACCAAAACTCAAATATCTCGCCTTTAGTAGACTGTTTGTGGTCTGAATTCTTGTTTAAATGACTTGAAGGCTGGTGGACTTCATCTGCCGATTCGATATTTGATTCCCCACCGATTACTGTCTGGTTCTCTCCAAAAGGGTCCCTGGTAGCTAATCCTTCTCTATTTGTTTGAATTTTGTTAGGTATAGGAGGAGGAAAGTAAGTACCTTGATGTAAAGTCCAAGGATCTTGATTGCTAAAAAGTGAATTGGAGGAATCCAAAACATCTCCACCTGATGGTGAAAAGTAAGTTTGTCTGTTAGCATTCGATGGAGCAGCTTCAGTGTTGCTTTGTGCAGTCTTCTGCTGCATCCAAGAAACATCATCCAATCCCAATGTATGTGCCGAATCAACACCAGAAAACAGAGGGTTCCCATATCGAACTTGAACGAAATCCAAGGTTTGAGCTTGAACTGGTGGATATCCATGTAATGCTAGATTACCCAAAGTAACCACCTCATTGGAGTCTATTCGTTGGCTAAAGATATTATCCAAAAGCACCTCCTTTCCATATATCTGCGGAGATGTTTCATCCAAATATCTTCTTTTCTGGTATTATCAACGGGTAAACCGGTTATCACGTCAATTTGGATCAGATGGTTAGGGTCTATGCAATCTTCTTTAGGGACAGCCTGAACGTTTGACGCTTCATGCACTGGCTGTTCTGAAGCTTGAATGCCAACTGCTCCAGAATTTGGAACCTCCTTTTGAAACTGGTGCTGTGTCGGCAAAACATACGGTGATTGTAACTCACCTGCCAAATCCATCAAATCCTGGCTTGCTGGAATCCTACAATGATTAGAATTATCTATTCTTGGCGAAATATTTATTTCATCTCCAGTTTGTGCATCAAGATCTTGAGAAGATCCAGCAGCTGCAGACTGAAGTCCTCCAAACTGATTATCAACGTGGCCAATATATCGAATCCCAGCTTGTTGCTCGGCAATGCCATTGCTTCCAGTCACCAAAACATTGTTTACCAATGAAGTTCCCATTGAGTCTTCAGGATACAAACTATGATAAACAGAATTAGTATTTGCCGAATGTGTTACATGTGTTACACCACTCTCTCTTTCATCCTGTGCCGAAGGATCAGAATGTGCATGAGGCAATGCCTTCTGACATAAAGCAGTCCTCTATCCTTAGTATCTTCTCAGGAGTAGATACTTCATTCCTAGGCAGTGATCCATCAAAGAACACTACATTCTCGGTTGAGGAATATGATGGAAAGTATAACCTGTTGCAACCATTGCTGACGGAACTTGGGTCTGATAAACACTGTGCCTCAGATCAGCAGGATGCTGAATTACCCTTGTTCCAAATGCATTTTCATCAGAGTAACGCTCCAACGGAGTTTGTTGTTGTTGCATCAGTGGCTGAATCATTGCTGGTCTAATACCAACATGGGAGTTGAAGGGAGTCATGCTTATATTATAAGCAGGAATGTACTGATGAGGAGCAGCATTATCAAGAAACTCCTGTTGGCCAAATACGGAATCGTATTTCCTATCAACTCAGGAGTCAAGAACCCCATTTGAGGAGAGAGATGCACAGTACGATTCGTAACATCATGGCGAGGATCAATATATGTAGATGCATAGTGTTGACGCAAATCATATTCCATTTGCTGCGGAGTCAAAGTAAGGGGCACCGTCCGCCCTGCCTCAACCTCTAATTGAGACAAGAATGTTTGAGGAGGACCAGACTTAACCACATGACTTCCTAAATGAACACCAGAAACATCAGCGTGAACAGCGGGTTTAGGATCATGTAAGTACCTGAGTTCCCTCTAGGTGACGACATTTTTGTTGTTGGAGACCCACCAACATCCCCTTGACCAGAACCTATAATATCGACAGCCTCGAGTCCACTAATATCAGAGTTCTGTGTTGAACCCGCACTTGCTACGCTCACCTTTCTCGTGATGCCACCAGCAGCTCCATCCACAATCCCATTAACTGCCTCAACATATTTCTGCACATTGCCATGCAAATCCCCAAACTGAACCATACAAGAAGGTTCAAGTTCCGAAGCCGAAAACAAAAATACCCTTAGTTTTAACAGATCCATCTGAAGTCCTTTCAACCACTCTCTCATACTCATCCATCATATTATCA